TACAAATATTGCGGGAAAAGAGAACATCAATGCGGAGAATATCTTGTTTATGTCAAAACTGAAACCAAGCCGTTCACACAGAACGCATATTTCGCGCATTTTCTTGAGGGACATCTATCACCGTTGCACTCGCGTCTCTCACAAAAGAGCCACATGTTTAGAAAGCCATGTAAAATTAATGCAAGTTCAACTTTGAAAAAACATATCTCGAGACTTTATGGCTGGGTTTTTTCCTCATCCCACTGCAACTCGTGTTTTTAAATGAAAAATGTATTCTGTGTGATTGGCTTTCGCCTTTGTATTAAACTATGCATACATACATGATGCTGTTTTGTTTATAGTTGTTTAAGCAACTTAATTAATTATAATTGGTTTATAAATTATGTTTAAAATCATTATTTTAAACATTATTCACTTTTTTTTCCACAGATAGTCATGTTATCTTATGCTTTGAATAAACGTGCATTAGTAATATTTTGCTCGATGCGCCCTCTTGTGGCCTCAGGAGAGAAGCCAAAAGCTTTTCTTCACCCTAACTGAAATTATGCATTTTAAATTTGAATATAATTCGAATTTTGATTATATTTAAGTACAAAATTCGAATTTAGTTTTTCAGTCATTTTGACAGCTCTAGTAAGGACATCATTAAAGTAGTCCATGTGACATCAGTGGTTCAACCGTAATGTTATGAACACCGGCTCCTGCGTCAGCAGCACCTCACATATGCATCGTGGTACTCTTGTGAACGCACTTCGAAGACTGACATGGAAGAAATTGTTGAATAAATTTGTTATTTTTGTTTCCTTTGCACACAAAAAGTATTCTTGTAGCTTCATAACAATACATTTTAACAATGTCCTTACTACCTTTCTGGGCCTTGCCAGTTGCGTTGCTGTCTATGGAGGGTCAGAAAGCTCTCGGATTTCATCAAAAATATCTTAATTTGTGTTCTGAATATGAACAAAGGTCTTACGGGTTTGGAACGACATGAGGGTGAATAATTAATGACAGAATTTTCATTTTTGGGTGAACTATCCCTTTAACAGTGTTATTAAATTATTCGTGTTTTTAAACATTGCTGTTAGATGACGGCAAGGTAATCTGAATGGAAAATAAGCATGCACAATTAAATATCCAATACAGATACTGATCAATAAAAAAAAAAATCTTAATATCACCCGAGAACCAATTTGCTATATATGTATTGTTGCTATATATTGTAATAAGAAAAATAACAATTAGAATAAGCTGATGTAGTGTAATGTAACATTACAAATATAGTTTGCTCTGTTCTCTATTTTCTAGGTGTGATTTTTGTTGTTCTTTACTACCGATTTCTTCATCCAAAATCTACGGAGATCCTCCAGAGTCTCAGACTCCAAATGAGCCTGACAACTACTGACAGAACAACCGATGTGGACTGCAAGGACACAACACTCGAATCCTCCACACACAACAATCATGGCACTTTCTCAGTGACTGGTTTTGCTCCTGACAAGCAGGCCGGAGGTTCTTCTGTTCAGCCTCTAGAGGGCGACTGGCACCATCATCATATGTTAATACATCTGGCTCTCAAAACTGGAAACAGAGACAAGATCAACTGCATGTATGGAGACAGAGGGCTTTCAGTCATCCTGGAGAATGATGATGCACCCGACATAGACTCTGGAGGGGACGGTTGTAACCAGCCAAACATGGAAGCAGGTGAACAATCTAAAAGTTGTCCAGTTGAAAACCGTGAAGGATTTTCTGTTGCTGAAGTGAGACAGTCTCCAGAGAAGGGTGCAGTGTATAACACCTGCCCTGCAGACTGCAGTAGCACTGTTTACTTCAGTGCAGAACCCCACTCTTCTTATAGTGTCAGTGATGCTACGTTAGATAAAGAGAGTGTGGCTGTGATCAGTCCCATTATGAATGGAGCTGCGCTGCACCTGACTGCCAAACAGCTGTTAAACAGGAACCCATGTTATACCTCAACTCCAATACCAGACCTCAAAACAATGCAGAGTACAAGTCCTCGATTAGGAGGGGCGAGAAGACAGGTGCATTTTTAATACTAGAATTTATTTGGGATAAAGCTGGTAAATATTTTCACTTTGCTAGGTTTTAAGTATAATGACGATCAGTTGAAGTGTTGCTAATACAACTCATTACAACTCCAATTTTCAATTTATTCCTTATATTTTCTTTGTGGTCTTTAAAAAGTCTTTCATTTACCTCCATTAAACCTGTAGAAACTCTGGTTTATTGTTAGCAAATATTATAACCACTATAAGCTGGCAGTTATCTGTATCTGCAGTTTGGTACCATTAGTTATAAGCTCTGAATTCAAATTGGTTTACATTTACTATGTACGTTTACTATAAGTTACATTGACATATTTTACTTGCTGCTCTTTTTTTTTTTACCATAATGTTTGATACATTTCTGTGGTTTTATATATATATTTGCATGTATTTTTTACATTTTGTATAATTTGATCTAAATTTAATTTTATCAAGTATATGCAAAGGGAACACATATAGTATTTTATAACAATGGTTATATTTATGGTTAAACTGTGGAGAAAATAGTTTTTAAAATAATTGTATAAATCATTGTCAAAATAAGTTTAAAAATGTTTGTACTAAACATTCTGCATTTACACTTTTTAGAACTCTTCAAACACTTTTTTTTTTATTTGTACTAATATAAAGCATGGTCATGTACCATTCAATGCTAATTTAGACATGTCTTTATACATTTTCTTTCTATTTATACTGCCCATCTATTTGTCTGCATGTCCTCAGATGGGAATAAAAATCTTTGAAATGTTTATGATTCTGTCATTATAGCTGTTCATCAGACAGCAGAGGGCACTATTGCATTCAATTAGGGTTTGTGCAAAGACACATTCAGAATTACAGGAGTAGTGGCATAAACAACATTTTTTTTCTTTGTTTTTATTTTATGGAAAGATGTAGCGACTTTATCCACAGACAAACTTTTGGCACATTACTTCATACACATTCAAAACAACCATATTAAAACAACCAAATACAAATTCATTTTCTAATAATCCATATATTTGTATGAAATTAAAATATCGTTGAAACACTTAAACTGAATGAGTATGGAATGAGACGGTGGAAGTGAGCCTCTTGGTTACATTATTAAAATGCTGCATGTGTTCAATGAACACCAAAGGGTGAAATAAGGACAGGAACATATTTGATATATCTGACATTTCTAGACCATAAAGTTGGACTGAACAGTGCTCACGCATGGATGGATTTTACCTATAGCACCATGTAGAAAATTTATACTATCCTGTGAAAAATCTAGTACAAACAGGTGATTGTCTTCTATGCATAATTAATACTTGCTTGAAGAAGGCATACAATGTAAGAATGAAAAGATACTCTGATCACCACACTGGCAGAACCACTTTTAAAAAAAAAGCATCTATAGGTTTTCCACATCAAGTATCTTTTCATTTTTACAGTGAATTTTTCTAAAATGAAGGCACAGACCATCATTTTGTTTTGTCGGTTAACAAAATATGACAAATGAAGAGAAATCCTTCACAGAGGTCATGAAAACCCTGAGCTCCAAGACAAAGCTTTAGTATAATAAAAGTGTTTGTAACAGAAAGACATTTTGCTTAAATAAAAAAGATATTAGCCAAGTTAAGCCAACTAAAGAATGACATCTCAATAAAAATAGGTGTCTGAATTGTCCACGTGGCCAAACCTAATTTCAGACCAAATTAATTCTAATTATAAAAATACAGTATTTCAAGTCAAGCATATTTAAAGCTCAAGCATATAATTTTTTCTCCACCTGTTTTACATGTCAAGGTGAATTCTTCATTAAAACAAGTTACATTAAAGGTGCAACTCAGTAATTTTCCCTCATTGATGTTCTACACAAAGAAATGAATAGCAGTTTAAAACATATTTAAAATCATGAAGTCAACCGTTAAATAAGTCACTTAATAAGAACTGATTTATTTTACATGGAGCAAGATCAAGTGTAAATTTGTTGAAGTTGCTTACTCACTCGTGGAATAAATTAATCACGTCGAATAAAGCATTTCTACTGTGTTATCAGTTAATTAGGACATTGCGGCATACACTGTAAGAATGAAAAGATACTCTGATCACCACACTGGCAGAACCACTTTTTAAAAAAAGCATCTATAGGTTTTCCACATCAAGTATCTTTTCATTTTTACAGTGAATTTTTCTAAATGTAAGAATGAAAAGATACTCTGATCACCACACTGGCAGAACCACTTTTAAAAAAAAAGCATCTATAGGTTTTCCACATCAAGTATCTTTTCATTTTTACAGTGAATTTTTCTAAAATGAAGGCACAGACCATCATTTTGTTTTGTCGGTTAACAAAATATGACAAATGAAGAGAAATCCTTCACAGAGGTCATGAAAACCCTGAGCTCCAAGACAAAGCTTTAGTATAATAAAAGTGTTTGTAACAGAAAGACATTTTGCTTAAATAAAAAAGATATTAGCCAAGTTAAGCCAACTAAAGAATGACATCTCAATAAAAATAGGTGTCTGAATTGTCCACGTGGCCAAACCTAATTTCAGACCAAATTAATTCTAATTATAAAAATACAGTATTTCAAGTCAAGCATATTTAAAGCTCAAGCATATAATTTTTTCTCCACCTGTTTTACATGTCAAGGTGAATTCTTCATTAAAACAAGTTACATTAAAGGTGCAACTCAGTAATTTTCCCTCATTGATGTTCTACACAAAGAAATGAATAGCAGTTTAAAACATATTTAAAATCATGAAGTCAACCGTTAAATAAGTCACTTAATAAGAACTGATTTATTTTACATGGAGCAAGATCAAGTGTAAATTTGTTGAAGTTGCTTACTCACTCGTGGAATAAATTAATCACGTCGAATAAAGCATTTCTACTGTGTTATCAGTTAATTAGGACATTGCAATGGCAAAAAGCGTCTCAATTTACATACATTTACCCCTAACTAAACATAAACGTTGCTTTTTCATCTATGCCACCAGGTGTCAGTATAGGTGTCATCAGTATAAGTACAAAACGACTATCAGCGCAACATAAACAAAAAATGTACTGAGTGCACATTCAAATAGACAAATGCTTCACTAGTAACTTAGTGCCAGTGCCACCAGAATAGATGTCCCAAAACGTATTTTAAGCATGATGGCGTTTCCCAAAAGCCATCATTATCCCAAAAATGTTTAATAGCTAAGTTACTGTATAATTATTTCCTCAACCCTCGTTGCCGTCTCGTTGCTTCAGAGACTTTAATAGTAGCGGTTGAGGCTGCGCGTGGCCGGCATGTCCGGCTGTCCGTTCATCCAGATCTCCCGGATAATCCGCTCGCGTTCCTCTAATCGCTGCGCGCGCTCCAGCTCCTCCGCGGAGGTGAACACGTTACCGAGCGTCCGTTCAAAGCGCCGGTGGCGGCGTGCCGACAGGTCGGAGTTATTGTCCCAGTCCGAGTCGCTGTCGCTCGTGTCGCTGGTGCTCTCCGCAGTCTTGCCTGTTTTCTTGGGCGCTTGTTGCGTTTTGCAGTCGGTTCGACAGGAGATCTGCACCACTAACGCGATGAGAGTGAGAACCAGTCCCAAACACACTCCACACACAAAATACAGTGCCGCCCGTTCCGGGTGATCTGCAGAAACAGTTCAGAAGGTTAGTAACAGTTTTCATTGGACCACTGTTACGGAGTATGACGGAATACAAAGTAGGCCTGGTTTGTAATAATTTGTTTATAGCCTAATAACTTGAACACACCTCTTCTTTAGTAATCTTTTTGATTTCTAAATTAAGAATTTAGCCTAGCTATATGTGTGTAGGCTACGTATGTATGGAAGCATTCAGGTGGCATATCTATCCTAATAATAAAGGAAATTGAAATGATTGAAACATTTAAAGGATGAAATTCTTTGAAATAGTTCTGCATAATCTTTTATTATGCATGATTTCTTTCAAATGAGCCATTTTAATACAAAAAGGATCTGTTAATTAACACGTTTGTTCTGTTGACTATTTAAACACGTTTTGTGTCATTTTGAGGACATAATTGGCATATATTGTGTAACTATAACACATTAGGGTGTAGAAAGTTGAATAACACATGGTTGAGTTAAAAGTAACACAAAATGCGTTGTCCTTAACACAGAGGTGTGTTAAGAAACAACACAGGTTGTGTTGTTTTTAACACATCCTTTTTAAGAGTGTAGGCTAATATAATATACTCTATACATTTTATTATTGTTGAAATAGTATAAATATCTGAAAAAAGGGAAGAAAAATCAGTCATGTGGAGCAACCCAAAGTTTTACCAAGAAGCATGTACAGTAAGGCTGCTCAATTCTGGCAAAAATTATGATTATTTTACTTAATATTGAGATCACGATTAAAGTGAAAGTTTCTTTCCCCTCTTCTTCACAGTGGATTTCCTTGTACTTTAAATATAATATATATATATTAATGATTAGTAGTTTTCAGTAAAAACTACTGAGAAATTTAAAAAATATATATAAAAGGTTTAGATTATATAAAAAACAAACATTAAAATATTACATAAAATAAATTTACATATTTTTTTTTTGCCATGTAAAGCAAGGAGTGCCAATGTAAAAGAAAAAAGTGCACTGGATATATAACACAAAACAAAGCATAACCATCATCGCTAAAAGGAATGTGGCACTGTTATCTTATGATTATTCACAAGATTATCTTTTGTTCAACTGTTGGAAGACAAAATTGTAATTGCAAATAAAATTCAATTAATCGCCCAGCTTTAGTACAGAGTATAATTTGGGGGCTGGTAGTGTATAGTAGTGTACCAAACCTGTTTTTACCTGCTATGAAGGAGTAAGCAGCCAGTGCATTGCTTACTAAAGCCATCTCCTCAGTAGTGGCTTGCCTTTCATTGAGGAAAGCTGTAACCATTTCATCCACAGACGCTCTCTGGGTCACTTATTGTGTGGTACTGAAAGAAAGTGAAAGAGGGAGAGACCGCAAGTTAAAACCGGTCTGAACCCACCTTCATTTTTTAAAATCCCTATAAAGAGGAGCGCTGAACTGTAGCTTATAATGATGTTGTTTTAAAGAGTGTAATTATATTGGGATCTCTGCCTACATTTAGGCTGCACCATAACCTCATGTCAGAGAAAACTATTTTTACAGACAGGCTGGAAATTTCCGAACAGCAGAATAATGCTATATCTTACTGTGCAACCACAGACATTGTAACAACCTAAAGTTTAATTTCTCCTCATCAAACTGTCACACAAGATCAGACAAAACAAATATTCTGATCCAACATATACATTATTATTCACTGACAAGATGATTGACGATTGCAGTTGAGACAGTAATAATAGAAATTATAACTTTCATAAAGAATTAATTATAGAATTGCCATCCTACCCCTGACATTCTGTCATTCTCTCTCCCCCTCGTAAAATCATTTCTAGGCATCAGGGAAAGTTTACCAGTAAATTATTGCCAAATTGCCTGGACATATTGGCTGGTTTTTGTCTTTCATCCCAAGAAGAAAAAAAAATGTTATAAAACAAAGGAGGTTGGAACACAAACAGAGAATCAGTGTAGCAGGATGGCTGGACAGAAAGCTTGAGTTTTTCAGCAATAGTCTGGGCTGAAGGTAGACGGCACTCAGGGCCAGTCATTCACGTGGGTGTAATGGAATGTAGTCTCGGTCTGTCTCACTTAGAGGAAGACAGGCTCCTCTTTTACTGTAAATGAGGAATTAGACTGGTGGCACTTTCAACAAATATAGGTACACATTGGTAATTTTAAAAACATCAAATGTCTTTGTCCTTAAAATTGTGATTTTTGCCCTCTCCGACCTCAGATGGTTTGACCTTCTTTACCGTATCTGTATCAAACCATTAGGCTACATTCATAAAACAATGTCATCATTCTGACATAATATGCTGATCGGATAACTGATATTTCATTCATTGTAGTGAAAACTATTTTATTAACTCATTTTAATAATTGCAGGAAGAAATTTTTGTTCCATTTTATATATACAGTTGAGGTCAAAGGCTTACACCCCCCTTTCAGAATCTGCAAAATGTTAATTATTTTCCCGAAATAAGAGGGATCATACAAAATGCATGTTATTGTTTATTTAGTACTGACCTGAATAAGGTTTTTCACATAAAAGATGTTTACATGTAGTCCACAAGAGAAAATAATTGTTGAATTTATAAAAATGACCCCGTTCAGAAGTTTACATCCACTTAATTCCTAATACTGAATGATCCACAGCTGTGTTTTTTTTTTAGTGATAGTTGTTCATGAGTCCCTTGTTTGTCCTGAACAGTTAAACTGCCTGCTGTTCTTCAGAAAAAATCCTTCAGGTCCCACAGAGTCTTTGGTTTTCTAGCATTTTTGTGTATTTGAACCCTTTCCAATAATGACTGTATGATTTTGAGATCCATCTTTTCACACTGAGAACAACCGAGGGACTCATATGCAACTATTACAGAGGGTTCAAACGCTCACTGATGCTCCAGAAGGAAAAACAATGCATTAAAGGAACACTCCACTATTTTTGAAAAGCTAATTTTTAAGCTCATTTTCCAACTCCCTTAGAGTTAAACAGTTGAGTTTTACCGTTTTCGAATCCGTAGTACTGCACTTCAGAAACTACAGAAGATAGTTACATGTTTCCCAGAAGATAAAATAAGTTAAATTTACTCTGATCTTCAAATTCAAAAAGTTTTATCTCCCCGTCAATTTTATTTATTTGATGAAAATAATTTATGTGTAACCTGCCACTGTTTAATTGATCAAAAATTATGAAGTATTTTTACAATTTAAAATAACTTTAAAATATTTATTACAATTAAAATGTTTAATAGCCATTACTTCAGTCTCCAGTGTCACATGAGCCTCTATTTCTTATTATTATCAGTGTTGAAAACAAATACTTTTGTGGAAACTGTGATATATTCTTAGTAGGGATGCACCGATACCACTTTTTCCATATACCGAGTACCGATACCAATATTTTCATTGCATTTGTACATTTTTTAAATATTGGGTACAGAAACCAAAAGAGTATGTATAATGTTAGTTGGTTAACTTCATTTATCAAATAGATACAGTCAAACCAAAATGTATTCAGACACCTTCAACATTTCTCACATTATCACAGTTTATTCGCTATAGTTTAGAAAATGGTAATAAAATATGACAAAAACTCAGAGTTTAACTGTGTCAGAACAAATTCAGCTTGATAATGTCAGATAACTTTGATAGAAAGGTATGTAATGGATTACAATAAACCAAAAATTATTCATACAGTTGTCAATATTTACACAACTATCAATACTTTGTCGGGTGACCCTTAGCCTTAATGACAGCATATAGTCTTCTGGGCATGCTGTCATCCAGGTTCATCCAAACCTGAACTTCAGTTTTTTCCGATCTGAATAATTTTTGGTCCCAAATTTGTATCAATTTTACTGGTAGTCCACTGTATGAAGAATTTTTGGGTATAATTTGTCACAGTTTACTTTATTTTGCTATCCTCACTTACATAAAGGAACTATAGTGTCCTGCACCCACTAGTAAAACCAAAACCACTCATATAATGCAGAAACACTCATGAAGCAAGCAAAACACGCGCAACGCGTGCACGTATTTGTACTGGTGCAGAATGAGAGGGACAAGTACAGTACAGCCTAGCGCATTTCACACAGGCTGTTAGTTTTACTTTCGCCAGAAAGTCGTGTATGCTTAAGGGTGACAATAAATGACGTTTATAGTGAATGCCCCTATAAATTGTCTTATATTTATGATTTAGTTTTAATCCAAATGATGCGTGCTAAGTGAGCGAACATCAATAAAGATCACACAACAGAAGTGCGCGCTCTCTCTCTCTCCATCTATGCGATCTCACACTGTAGAGAAAAGAGGACAAAAGAAAGTAAGACAAAATGAGAAAGAAACTTCAGCATCCTCCCTTTGGCTCTTCAGAACTGATGGACAAAGCTAAATAAAAAAAATGAAGGGCTACTGTATGAGTCATAATGATCTATATAACAGAGCAGCCCCCTCAGCTTTACGATAAGACCTTCAGTGGAAAAACTCTCTTTCCCAATCGGTGTTCCTGTGTTTGTGTGTGTCAGAGATCGTACATCACACAGTATCACTATGAGTCCTTTTCCGGTACACACACTCCTCCATTCAACCACAGTGATTAGTCAAGACCAAAACCCTCCCTAACTAGACAGAAAAACAAAAGAAAAAAACAGTAATGTGTGTTTAAGTTGTATGGCGTTTGCCTAAGCCAGGCCAATTATCAGACTATTTGAAAGCCATAGTGCGTAAAACACAAATTTCTGCTTACTAAATTAGGACATGAACTTGTAAGAATGAATCATATCAGGATGTGATGTGAGAGCAATATATTGAGAGATAACTAGTCAGTGAGCATTCCTTTCAAATTATGCACATGTACAGTTTAAAAATCATTATCTGTGGCCCTATTTGTACTTCAGGCTATTTTTTTGGTTGGAAAACAGTATATGACTAAACTGTTGTTCTTGTGGTTTATATCCTTTCATGTTTTTGGAAACTGCACTGGACTTTTCCCAGGACAAGTCCTTCTTTCCCACAGAAATCTCATGGGTCGTATCCTGTCTTCATATTAAAATAGATCTAAATTGCTTAACTTCTTCCAATATCAATACGAGGTTAAGAAAGAGCTGTAATTTAATCTTAAAACTTGAAAAGGATGATTACATCAGCTTAATTAACTGAATTCAGTGGTAAAGATTTTTTAGTTTACACAGCATAACGTTTTATGAAAATATTTGACTAATTAATGAGAAATAATTAAAAGCAAGGGGGAATTTAGCATTACATCACTTTGCTCACCAGTGGATCCTCAGCAGTGAATGAGAGTCTAAACATCTGATAAAAGCATTACAATAATCCACAAGTAATCCACATGGCTCCAGTCCATCAATTAACATCTTGTGAAGTAAAAAGCAGCGTGTTTGTAAGAAACAAAACCATCATTAAAGGATTAGTTAACTTCCAGATTAAAAATGTCCTGAAAATGTACTCGCCCCATGTCATTCAAAATGTTCATGTCTTTTTTTCTTCAGTCGAAAAGATATTTTGAGGAAAACATTCCAAGATTTTTCTCCATATAGTGGACTTCAATGGGAGCCAGGGGTTGAAGTTTCAAATTGCAGTTTCAGTGCAGCTGCAAAGGCCTCTACACAATCCCAGCCAAGGAATAAGAGTCTTATCTAGCGAAACGATTGGTCATTAAAAAAAAGTAAAAAATATACATTAACCACAAATGCTTGTCTTGCACTAGCTCGACCTGACGCATTACGTAATCACACACATGTGACATAGGTGGAACCAACCCAGTGTTTACAAAGCGAACGTGCAAAGAAAGTCAAACTCATTTCTGAAAAAAGGGAAAACAACGATGTCGGATCATTTTGAAGTTGGAGGAGAAAATGAGACGGAGTTTTTTGCCCTACCGTACCTTTTTGAACCGGAGTACACAGATGAAGAGCTAACCACACGTGACCTTTGCAGTGTGATTATGTAATGCGTGAAGTCTCACATCGCAGAGCTAATGCAAGACAAACCTTTTTTTTTTTTTAGAAAATGACCCATCGTTTCACTAGATAAGACCATTATTTGTCGGCTGGGATCACGTAGAGCCCTTTGAAGCTGCACTGAAACTGCAGTTTGGATCTTCAACCCGTTGGGTCCCATTGAAGTCCACTATATAGAGAAAAATCCTGGAATGTTTTCCTCACAAACCTTAATTTCTTTTCGACTGAAGAAAAAAAAGACATGAACATCTTGGATGTCCAAATGATCAGGAAAACAGTGTTTGCTTGTGCATATTTCTCTCCTGATTCAGACGAGACAACTTTTTCACTGGAGAAATCAAAATTATGGATCAAGGACTCAAATTTTAGCCGGAAGCCAGAAAGTTAAAACATCTTG